GGTTTGCGGTTTGGGGGGGGGTGGGGGGGGGTTAGTAGGGTTTGTTGGGGTTTGTTGGGGTTTGTTGGGGTTTGTTGGGGTTTGTTGGGGTTTATTAGGGTTTATTGGGGTTTATTGGGGTTTATTAGGGTTTTTTAGGGTTTAGGGTTTAGGGTTTGGGGTTTGGGGGTGGGGGTGGGGTTGGGGGTGGGGTTTAGGGTTTATTGGGGTTTATTGGGGTTTATTGGGGTTTATTGGGGTTCATTAGGGTTTATTAGGGTTTATTGGGTTTACTAGGGTTTAGGGTTTAGGGTTTAGGGTTTAGGGTTTAGGGTTTGTGTGCAGGCCCCGCGTTTGCGTTTTCACTCGAAGCCCGCGATGCTGATGGACTCTTTGCGGTGTCTGGACCCCACAGTGGACATCGAAAGACTCGTTTGTCTCAAAGGAGTTGTCATTAGAGTTTCCGAAGTCATTCCCGAGATGACTCTCGCGGCCTTCAGGTGCCACGGTCAGTGCTGCTGCTGCTGCTGCTGCTGCTGCTGGGGCTGCTGCTGCTGCTGCTGCTGCTGCGGCGGCTGGTGCTTGTGCTGCTGCTGCTGCTTGTGCTGCTGCTGCTGCTGCTGCTGCTGCTTTTGCTTTGCGTGAAGCTGCATGCGGATTAATGCATGAGTGGGGTGTATGGACAGCTGTCTGCATCTGGATGTTCGCATAAAAGTCCATTAAGAGATTTTAAATAAAATTAAAATGTTTTTGCGCATTAAATGGAGCTTTAAAGACTCCAGGCTGAATAAAGTGTTTTAAAAAGTTTAAATAAATTGCAAAATGGAAAATTCCAAAAAGCAAAAGAGAGAAAAAGCCCCGCCAGGCGCTGAGGTGTCTAGACAGCGCGGCGGCGAATCTGCATGCTTCGAAAAGCGTTTTTTCTGCTTTTTTCTCGAGCCCCACGGCCGCTGCCGCTGCCGCTGCTGCTGCTGCTGCTGCTGCTGCTGCTGCTGCTGCTGCTGCTGCTGCTGCTGCAGCGCGGGACCCGCGGAGCGGAGGCCAGTGCCTGCAGGAAGTGTACTGCTGCGTGCTGAACGGCGACGTGGTGCAGCCGCAGCGCTGCAGCAGCTGCGGCGCTGTGGGGTCGCTGGCCCTGTGGCTGCAGCAAAGTGCTTTTGCTTCCAAACAACTTCTCAAACTCTCCGAAGTTCCCGAACTTCTCAGCCCCGGAGAAACTCCCCAAAGCCTCACAGTCTTCGCCTACGACGACCTCGTCGACGCCTGCAGGCCCGGAGACCGCGTCGAAATCACGGGTCCGCTGCTGCTGCTGCTGCTGCTGCTGCTGCGGCTGCTGCTGCTGCTGCTGCTGCTGCTGATTAAGCTGCTGCTGCTGCTGCTGCTGCTGCTGCTGCTGCTGCTGATTAAGCTGCTGCTGCTGCTGATTAAGCTGCTGCTGCTCCTGCGGCTGCTGCTGCTGCTGCTGCTGCTGCTGCTGCTGCTGCTGCTGCTGCTGCTGCTGCTGCGGTTGGGGTTTCTGCTGCTCCTGCTGCTCCTGCTGCTGCGGTTGGGGTTTCTGCGGCTGCTGGTGACTAACTCGGGGCCCTGGGATGGTCATGAGATGATGGGGCTGCTGATGTTGATGGGCCTGCTGCTGCTGCTGCTGCTGCTGATGGGGCTGCTGCTGCTGCTGTTTAAGCTGCTGCTGATGATGGGGGGGCTGAGGCTGCTGCTGCTCGGGAGCCTGGGGTTGCTGCGGATGGTTTGCTGCTATTTTGCTCGGCTTCCTGTTCTGTTGAGGGGCGCTGCTCCCAGCTGAACCCGCTGCTGCTGCTGCTGCTGCTGCTGCTGCTGCTGCTGCTGCAGGGGTGTATAAGGCGTCTCCTATCCGCGTTAACCCGCGCATGCGGCTGCAGCATTCTGTCTTTAGGACTTATGTGAATTTGCTGCACTTGGTGAGAGACGAAAGAGACAAGGCCACGAGGCCGTCTGCTGCTGCTGCAGCAGCGAAGCAGCAGCAGCAGGACCAGCAGCAGCAGCCGATCGAAGAGGAGACTGTTAACTTCTCGCCCGAGCTCGAGAGACAAATTGTCGCGCTCTCTCAAGACCCAGTGAGACCCCACAGCAGCAAAACACCAGCAGCAACTGCAGCAGCAGCAGCAGCAGCAGCAGCAGCAAAGCTGCTTCTGCGCAAGAGCCATTTTTGCCCCCGCGTCAGTTGCAGCCCGCCCCATTACCCCGTTGCTGCTGCTGCTGCTGCTGCTGCTGCTGCTGCTGCTGCTGCTGCTGCTGCTGCAGGACATTTACAACAAGTTGGTGACTTCTTTCGCGCCTTCCATTGTGGGGCGCGATGATGTGAAGAAAGGCATTTTGTGTCAGCTGGTGGGGGGCTCTCGGCTGCTGCTGCAGCAGCAGCAGCAGCAGCAGCAGCACACGCGGCAGCAGCGGAAGCAAAGGCCCTACAGAAGCGACCTCCACGTGCTGCTCTGCGGAGACCCAGCCACGGCGAAGTCGCAGCTGCTGCAATACGTGCACCAGATTGCGCCCAGGTAGGGTTTAGGGTTTAGGGTTTAGGGTTTAGGGTTTAGGGTTTAGGGTTTAGGGTTTGTTGTTTGTTGTTTGTTGGCGTCTGCGTCTGCGGCTCCGCCGTCGCCCCCGCAGCCGCCGCTTCGCCTGCCGCCTCCCCTTCGCTGCTGCTGCCCCCTGCTGCTGCTGCTGCACCCCTGCTGCTGCTGCTGCTGCTGCTGCTGCTGCTGCTGCAGGTGCGTCTACACGTCGGGGCGCGGCAGCAGCGCCGTGGGACTCACTGTGGCTGTCACCCGCGACCCCGACACTCGCGAGTTTGTCTTGGAAAGCGGCGCTGTGGTTTTGGCGGACGGAGGAGTTTGCTGCATCGACGAGTTCGACAAAATGGAAGAAACCGCCAGGTTGCTGCTGCTGCTGCTGCTGCTGCTGCTGCTGCTGCTGCTGCTGCTGCTGCTGCTGCTGCTGCTGCTGCTCTGCTGCTGCTGCTGCTGCTGCTGCTGCTGCTGCTGCTGCTGCTGCTGCTGCTGCTGCTGCTGCTGCTGCTGTTGCTGCAGTTGCGGCTGCTGCTGCTGCTGCTGCTGCTGCAGTTGCGGCTGCGAAGCCCGCGGCCGCGGCCGCGAAGAGCGGCGGCTTCCACGGCGCGTTCTGCTGCCGCAGCTCCACTTCTTGCTGCTGCACTTGCTGCTGCTGCTGCACTTGCTGCTGCTGCTGCTGCACGTGCTGCTGCTGCTGCACTTGCTGCTGCTGCTGCACGTGGTGCTGCTGCTCATGTGGCAACTGTTGATGCACTTGGCACTGCTGCAGTCGCCGCTGCTGCAGTTGCAGCAGCTGCAGCAGCAGCGATATTCCAGCTGTGTGATCCGAGGGGCCCTTGGTGGGTTTGCTGCTGCTGCTGCTGCTGCTGCTGCTGCTGCTGCTGACAGGGCGATTCTGCACGAAGTAATGGAGCAGCAAACTGTCACTGTGGCCAAGGCTGGGATCGTCGCCTCCCTGAGGGCCCGTACTGCCATTCTGGCCTCAGCAAATCCCGTCAGCTCAAGGTAACTCACGCTGCTGCTGCTGCTGCTGCTGCTGCTGTTGTTTCTGCTGCTGCTGCTGCTGCTGTTGTTTCTGCCGCTGCTCCTTCTCTCTGCTGCGACTGCAGTGGCCCTTTGGTGCTGCTGCGTCGCTCGCTAGTGGTATTATTATTGGCGTGAGGGCCATCGAGGGTTTAGGGTTTAGGGTTTAGGGTTTGTGGTTTACGGCTCGCTGTTTCTGGAGGCTAGGGCTATCTTTGTTTGTCACTTTTCCTCTCCTTTTGTCTTTGCTGCCCTGCTTCTCAATTGTGGCCACAAGATAGCCTTCCGTGCTGCTGCTTCTTTGCTGCTGCTGCGCTGCTGCTGCTGCTGCTGCTGCTGCGGTCTGTTCCTTTTCTCCAGCGATAAGAAAATGCCATTTTTTTCGTTTTAACAATTTAACAATGATTTAATTTGCCATTCTTTTAGGAATCCAAAAACATGCCACTAATTATTTAATAGCAATCATTTATTTATTTATTTATTTATTATTTATTTATTTATTTATTTATTTATTTATTATTTTGTTTTGCTGCTGCAGATACGACCGGCAGCGGGCTGTGGTGGAAAACATAAACTTGCCTCCTTCTTTGTTTTCCAGATTTGATTTAATTTATTTGCTGCTGGACACTGCTTCTCCCGAGGCCGACAAGCAGCTTGCTGCGCGCCTCTGCAGGTCCTTCGCAGGCGCTCCCACGGAGGTCTGCTGCTGCTGCTGCTGCTGCTGCTGCTGCTGCTGCTGCTGCTGCTGGGGGGGTGGTGGGGCGGTGGGCTGCTGCTGCTGCGGCGGGCGGGGGGCTGCTGCTGGAACTGTTGAACTTACTGCTGTTGCCGCTGCTGGACTAGCTGCTGCTGAACCAGCCGCTGCTGCTAACTAGCTGCTGCTGCTGCTGCTGCTGCTGCTGCTGCTGCAGGACAGTGTTGAGAGCAGCCCGCCCATAAGCAAAAGCCTGCTGAGTTCTTACTTGGCCTTTTGCCGCTTCCGCTGCCAACCAACTTTGTCTTTGGAAGCAAAAGAGGCCCTCAAAGCCGAATACCTCAGAATGCGCAAGAGAGACACCACCAGCAAGTAACGCCCCGCAGCAGCAGCAGCAGCAGCAGCAGCAGCAGCAGTAGCAGCACCACCAGCAGCACTAGCAATAGCAGCACTGGCAGTAGCAGCACCAGCAGCACTGGCAGCGCCAGCACTACCAGCAGCAGCACTAGCAGCAGCAGCACTAGCAGCAGCAGCACTAGCAGCAGCAGCAGCAGCAGCAGCAGCAGCAGCAGCAGCAGCGGCGGTGTGCTGCTGGTGTGCTGCGGTGTTAGACACCCTTCTGCTTCGATCCGGCAGCTGGAGTCGCTGCTGCGGCTGTCGGAAGCAATTGCGAAGCTGCGGCTGTCTCCGCAAGTTGCTGCAGCAGATGCAGCAGAAGCTGTTCGCCTCATTCACGTCGCCACTTTCCAGTCCCTCGTGGACCCCTTCTCAGGTCTGCTGCTGCTGCTGCTGCTGCTGCTGCTGCTGCTGCTGCTGCTGCTGGGGCTGCTGCTGCTGGGGCTGCTGCTGCTGCTGCTGGGGCTGCTGCTGCTGCTGCTGGGGCTGCTGCTGCTGCTGCTGGGGCTGGGGCTGCTGCTGCTGGGGCTGCTGCTCAGTGGGGCGGTGCTGCTCGCTCTGCTGCTGCTGTGGCTGCTGCTGCTGCTGCAAGTGAGCTTCGGGTCTGGCTGCTGCTGCAAGCCCTGCTGCTGCTGCTGCTGCTGCTGCTGCTGCAGGCCGGATAGACTTCGACCAAATCCATGTGGGGCAAAGCCGGCAACAGCGGCTGCTGCAGCAGCGCTGCTGCGAGGCGCTGCAGCAAGTGCTGCTGGCAGCAGCAACCAGCGGCAACGCATTCCTCACCAAAGAAGAGCTGCACATAAAAGTTCAGGAGCTGCTGAAGGTCAGTTTGCTGCTGCTGCTGAGGGGCTGCTGCTGCTGCTGCTCGAGGTCTGTTTGCTGCTGCTGCTGAAGCTCTGCTCCTGCTGCTTGAGGTCCGTTCGCTGCTGCTACGGAAAATCCGGTTGCTGCTGCTGCTGCTGCTGCTGCTGCTGCTGCTTCTGACTGTTTCTGTCCGAGCGAGACTTCTGACTGCAAACAGCCCGTGCCCTGCCGTGCTGCTGCTGCTGCCGCCTTTTTGCTCCTGCTGCGGCTGCTGCTGCTGCCGCTTTGTTCCTGTGCTGCTGCTGCTGCTGCAACCTTTTGCTGCTGCGACTTTCTCTTTGCAGCTGGGAGGCAGCAGCGCTGGAGTAGACATGGCAACTCTCAATGCTGCGCTGCAGCAGCTTGAAGAAGACCGTGAGCAGCCCCACAGCAGCAGCACAGCAGCAGCAGCAGCAGCAGCACAGCAGCAGCAGCACAGCCGCAGCACAAGCAGCAGCAGAACAACCTGCGTCTGTCTGTGTCTTGTCCCTGTTAACTGCAGAAGTCATCTCACGGAAGCCAGGAGGCCTCTTCCACGCCACTCTTGTTGCTGCTTGACTCCGCAGCAGCAGCAGCAGCAGCAGCAGCAGCAACAGCAACTAGCAGCAAGGGCAGCTGCCGCAGCAGCAGCAGTGCGCTGCTGCAGGCTTTTGGCTGCAGCCCGCAGCTGCCCGCCTTCAGGTGTCTGTACACCTTAGCAACATTGGGTTACAAATATTTTCTAAACTCCCTAAACTATACAATGCTCGCTGGCGTAGCTGTTTGCTGCTGCTGCTGCTGTAGCTGCTGCTGCTGCTGTAGCTGCTGCTGCTGCTGTGGCTGCTGCTGCTGCTGCTGTGGCTGCTGCTGCTGCTGTGGCTGCTGCTGCTGCTGCAGCGAAATTGACAAGAAAGAGTTCCTCGAGAGCCACAAGATACGAAAAATACAGCTAGCCTTCCCCAGCGAAGGCCAGCAGCTACTGCTGCAGCGGGCGCTGCTGCTGCTGCAGCGGCTACTGCTGCTGCAGCGGCTGCTGCTGCAACCACGCGCGGCTGCTGCGGCACACAAGGCCGCGGTAACTGTGCTGCTGCTGCTGCTGCAGCACTTGCTGCTAGTGCACTGCAGCTGCTGCAGTCCCTCGAGACATTCAACAGACAGCTATGCAGCTGTCTTCTCAGGGCCACTGTTCATGCTGCAGCAGCAGCAAACCATTTGCTGCTGTGGCTCCAACAGCAGCAAAGCACCTGCTGCTATGGCTGTTGCAGCAGGAAGCCACCTGCTGCCATGGGTGCAGCAGCAGAAAACGACCTGCTGCTGTCGCTGCAGCGGCAGCAGCAAACCACTTGCTGCTGCGGCTGCAGCAAGAGCAAACCACTTGCTGCTGCTGCTGCTGCTGCTGCTGCAGCAACAGCACTTCAGTTGTCAGTCGTGGAAGAGTTGCGCCGCACGAAGTCAGACATTTTCCTATTCAAAGGAGTGTGCTCGTGCTTCTCCGGGATCTTCTCAGCCACCAGCGACTCCGCCCTGCAGCAGCAGCAGCAGCAACAGCAGCAGCAGCAGCAACAGCAGCAGCAGCAAAGAAAATAAGCGGCTACTTGCATGCGCAAACGACCTCCAGCAATGCCTTGGCGCAGCAGCTGCTGCTGCTATACACGAAAGCAAGGCACAAACAAAAGTAGGAAAACCTCGAAGCACAGCAGCAACACAAGCAGCAGCAGCAGCAGCAGCAGCAGCAGCAGCAGCAGCAGGTGACGTACCGCTGGATGAGTTCAGTCAGCGCCTGTGGGTTGCTGTCGTTCTTCTTGAGAGTCCTGCAGCAGCAGCAGCAGCAGCAGCAACAGAGCAGCCAGAGTGATAAAGAAGCAGCCACGCCCCCAGTGAGCAGCAGCAGCAACAGCAGTGGATACGTCCAGCAGCAGCAGCAGCAGCAGCAGCAGCAGGAGCAACAGTAGTGGCTACGTCCAGCAGCAGCAGCAGCAGCAGATGGCTTACTTCTCAAGCTCCGCGGAGATTTCCTTTCCCCTTGCTTGCGACATTTTAGCGATAAGAAATGGTAACCTGCAGCAGCAGCAGCAGCAGCAGCAGCGGCAGCAGCAGCAGCGGCAGCAGCAGCAGCAGCAATTATATTAAAAACAAAGAAACGGGAGTTCCGCCTAGCGTATGCAGATGTCCTGTGCTGCTTAATGCAGCAGCCACGCGGAAGCAGCTGGCTGCGTGAGCGGAAGCAGCAACAGCAGCGGCCGCAGCAGCAACAGCAGCAGCAGCAGCAGCAGCAGCAGCAGCAGCAAGGCGAACTAGTTGAAGAGAGCTTCTAAAGAGTAATATGATAAAGATTAAGAACAGAAAAGACAGCAAAAGGTGACGAAGGATTGACAGAAATGTTCTGAAGGCGCAGCGGTGGGCAGCAGCAGAAAAGCAGCGGCAGCAGCAGCGCGGGCGGACAAAGTTACCTGTTTCTGCAAATGAAGTAAAGACAAATTAAAGAGAATATGTTTTTAAAAGAAGAGTAAAGATAATAAGCACAAAAGCTTCCTGATAGTTTGCAGCCAAGCCCGCGGGGTTACGGGAAGGAAGCTCAATGGTCTGTGCAGCTTCCTTGCCGCTGCAGCAGCAGTTAGGTCTCTTGCTGGTTTTTTACCTTTTTCGGGCCCGAATTGCGTTTAAAATGGAAATATATTTCAATTAGGATTAATTAGGATGGCTTCGAGCCCGCAAAGTGTTCAAAAACACGCTTATCCACGCCGCAACGCCCTAATAAGCAGCCAGCCCCAGCCGGTAACCTATCAAGCTCACACTCAATAACTCCTTTTTAGGGAATTTGTTTGTCTTCCATACAGCGATTAAATCATATTTTTATTCTCTCTTATTCCTTGGCCCCAAGCCCACTGCAAATCCCAGCACCACACTGTAAGCTCGGGCAGCAGCAGCAACAGCAGCAGCAACAGCAGCAGAACCACCAGCAGCAGCAGCAGCAGCAACTCCTTCTGTACACAAGCATTAATGCATTTCTTTATTTCATTGAATTTTATAGGCCTTCATATTCTCTGCTGCAGCCACAGCGGAGGCAGAAACAATGGGCCAAACTGTTTGAGTTCTTTTGCAGGGGAAGTTAGTGGGGGTTCTTAAGTCTTTCTAATCTGCTGCGGGCTGCAAGGACCATTTCTAAGTACTTGCTTTCTTAATTGCTCCTTAAAGGCCTCTTTGCCTTTTTCAACATTACAGGTTTGAAGAAACTTTTGCGCAGGAACTGCAAAGCCCATTTCCTACATGTTTCTTCACTTCGAAGAAAATAGGCAGAAGCCACACAAAAAAGATTCAATTTTTGTCACATAAATCATGTACAAAGAGAATACAAGACAGTTTTATTGAATTTCACCTCAAAGAAAGCTCTTGAGTTGGAATGCAGTGGCAGATATCTTTATCTGCTCTTGCAAATCCAGAGCTTTTCATGATTTGAAGGAAATGCTGAAAATTTGACGTAGCTGGTGCTGCATATTGACTCAGCTTGAGAAGCTTTTAAAACAAAACTATTATTAGTTCTTTGAGGATCTTTTAAATCAACAAATGCTATTTTTGCTTTGCCTATTTGAATTCTTTTAGCTGCCCCTTAGGGCCAAGTCTAGAGTTTAATAAGAACAGGAAATACTGCAGCCTGTACTGCACTTGGCGGTACCTAAAGCAGCATTTTTAGAAGTGCTCTACAGTGGCTTATCAAGAAGACTCTCGCTGGCAGCTACGATTCTATGAAATCCGTAAGTACACGCAGCTGCAAGCAGTGGCTAGCAAGCCCCCAAAGTTTGGAACTCTTCTGACACAACTTAACCGCAGCTATTTAGTAGAGTTGCAGGGATTAAAATGAGGAGTACATTTCCATCGAAGCTCGCAAGCTCCTCCGCTTTTCAGTGGCGGTGTTAACAAACAAATCTGAAACTGGAAAGCAGCAAACAGCAACTGTGACGGATCCCCCAGATGCCTTCAGCAGCACCCACAGGGTTTCTTTCAAAGCAGCTGTCAACTGCAAACTCTGAGAAATCGATTTGTTGGATGTTTGCTTCCCACGGGTGCAAGCTTAGAAGTGCAAGCATAAGCAGCTGGTGAGGAAAGAGAGAATAGATGAAGTTAATAACTCAATAGCATTAGAACATTTGCGCTGAAGACAAGAAGCTCGGCAAGCCCAGTTCAAATTATACACTTCTAAACAAGAGCAGCATTCCCAGGAATATTTAACTCCAATATGTACACAGAAAGCGACGGCTTTAACACTTGCAGAGTGAAAATCATCTTCTTTCTTCCAGAGAGAACAAAAGTACTTTGTGTCTCAGAGGCCAGTTGCATGGGCCTGCGAATGCGGAAATAAACGTGTTAGTTGATAGCATAGAGGCCCCAAACCTCATGAAGAAAATGAAGGGTTACCTGCATTTCGTTGTGCTGCAGTACAAAAGCGGGCTCCTGCAGATGCTTAAACTCCACCTGCCGTCTCAGGCGAAGCCTCATGAGACTGAAGCCCCTAGAGGGAGTGGCTTTCGTTGAGAGCCCAAATGCCTCATGAGACGTGAGGCCCTTAGGAGCAAAGGCCTCCGTTGAAAGCCTAGAAGTCTCACTGAACTGAAGCCCTTGAGAAGAAAGGTCTTAGTTGAGAGCCCAATGAGATTGAGGCCTTAGTTGAGAGCCCTGGAGCCACAGGCCTCAGGAGCCTTCAATTACGACACTTGCAAGTGAGTAAAGCCTCTGCGGGGCCCCTTAAATGCTACTGCGCACAGAAATGTGCTTACTTTTTGACTGTCCGACCACAGCTGCAGGTACTAGTGCTATACTCTTTACAAGCCCCTGGTGATGTGCGCGTTTGAGTTGACTGAATCCCTTCTCACTGGAGCCCACGCTCAGTGCCTTGTAAGAGCCTAACTGCCTATTTAATTATTTGAAGCTCTAGATCTCAATAGCTGCAGTTGAGTGGCTGTCAAAGAACATGCATAGGGAGAGCTGCATACTCGAAGCACACAAGGGCGAACACCTGAGAGAAGGCAAGCCATGAAAGGCGCCATACATTTCCAACTAACCACAGCGGGGATATGCAAAGCGTCCTCCTACCACACATATAGGACTCTAGTCACCAGCTTGGTGGCACAAGCCCTGGACTTTGGATCCCCAGGTCGAGGGTTCGATTACCCAGAACTGATTTTTCTGTCTTGTTTGAGTGGCGCCCCCGTGGGGCTGCTTATAGAGGTGCATGCATGCACGCAGCGATAGGCTCTAGGATCTATTCAAGTCACGGGGCTGGAGAGCGACACAGCGCAGCAAGGTGAGACGGCGCAGCAGCGCGAACAGCTGGAGTTCTCGCCGTCGCTGACTTCTTGGCGGTGTCAGTGAGTTTGCAGGAGAGTTCAATTCGAAAGCAACAAGGAAAATCACTTCATTCTTCAATGAAGTCGCTTCTTCCTCAAGAAAAATGGCAGTTTGTTTCGCGAGTTTAGTGTGCCTGGGAAATGGCAGCACTTGCTTCTTCGCTGTGTTTTCGGAATAAGGAAAGAAAGCAGATGCGGCGGAGTCGAAGCATCGAAGTCTTCAACTTTGCTGCGAAGCAGTACTCAGCAGCAGCTCTAGAACTGTCGCATTCGAAGTCAAAGAAATGCGCTTTCTCAAGAAGCTGCACGCAGATGGGACGTTAACTAACGGCTGCCCACTGCTGCTGCAGCACCGCCGCAGCGAAAGCAGTCAGGAGTGCAGCAAGCAGTCAAAGCAAAGCAGCTTGCGGAGGGCGCGTTTTGGGGGCGTTTGCAGTGCTGAGCACTGCAAAAGAGCAAAAATTCAACTTGAAAGAATGCTAACAGAAAGGGAATGTTGGATAGATGAAACAGCACGGAGAAGTTCGCCAGAACTCTGAAGGCTTGGGGCGGTTTGTCGGCAGCGACTGACTGCAGTGCGCTTCTCGGGCCTCTTCGAGGCGTAGCGTCGTAGCTTTTCTGAACCTGCAGCCAACATTTTTCCTTAATGAAGTTGGATGGTTCTGTCTGCGGTCACAAACCCGCAGCAAGAGCCTCTGCATGCAGGAAGTGGGGCTGGGCGCCGGTGCCGTGAAAGAGTTCTGGCCAATCACTGGCTCAAATGGGGAAAGTTTGGCTGAAGAGTGACTCGGCCATTTGTTGGGCTGGGAGAGGGGCTTCCAGTCCGGAGCATTTGTTGCAGCTTCCGACTCTGAGGGAATTAAGCCGAAGACGCGGCGCGTTTGTTCAGTGGAGGAGTCTGGCCCGGAACTGCAAGGCATACCCAAAAGAAAGTCAAGCCTATTGGATTCCAGCGACGAGAGGGAACGAAGAAGGGGTGGAGAAGCTCGGCTGGTTTCTGTTTGAGGAATTTGGACCCGAGGCAATGAACACAAGCCTCCGCGTGGGCCGGGGTACTTGTAGTGCACAGGCACTACAGTAAGGCTTGCTGGTGACCTATAGACGATGGCTAGCTAGCGACCTACAAGGGGTCGCAGCACTGGAGGAGGACAGGACTTTCCTAATAGGATGAAAGTAAGAAAAACTGTCTATGAGTTCAAATCCATACGCTGGAGGTGCCTGAAAATGCGGGGAGGCTGGGGATGGCGATAACGTGGGAAACAGTGCAGGCATCCTCCCCACAGAGCCTGGGAGGCGGGCACCCGGAGTGGAGCGAATGGAACGACAACAGATTTCGGATACTTGAGAATTGTTGTATTTCGATGAAATTAAGCTACAGTTTCCAGGAAATGGGCCTACGTTAGGTGCCGTTTGTAGGCCCTGCTCGAGAGGCAGGTACCAGCGCAGTCACAGCAGTAGGCGATGTGCACTACAGTGCAGGCCCGCATGCGTGGCCTAGAGTATGTTTAAACGGAACAAGAAAAGTCTTTTTATTCGCAAAGATCCGCTGGGGCATGATCGTGGTTGGTGCAAAGCACGTGGCTGACGAGTCCACGAAGAGCGGCAAGCACATCTGCCGTAGGCACAGTACCACCTGCATGCAAAGCCACGCGGAAACACTTGAAAGCAAAAGTAAGGTGCTGCTTCGGGAACTCGGATTGCACGGATTCTGCAGCTTCCCCTGCAGCTTCGAAGTAAGGCACGCAGAAACACAGGTACTGCAGGTGGGTTGCGACCCAGGCATGCCAGGCTAAATGGCCCTCGCTGCCGGGCGTAAGAACTGGACTGACCATTATGAAGAGTTGTTCTTCCGGTGAGAGAAAAGACACTTTTTGGGGCCACGGCCTCTGCAAAAGCGTTCCCTGTGGCACGGGCTTTTTGTGCCCCGCGCATGAGCGCTGTGGGGGGCAGAAAAGAGTGAACAGGTAACTCCTCTGCCTATGGCTGATAGCTCTCCATAGACTTTCGGAGGCCCTGGGGCCCCAGGTAAGGCCTGTGGAGCCACTGAGCCAACATCGCCCACCGGGCAAACATACAGAAAAAGTGATGAAGCCCTCAGGTGGCTCACCGGCGCTCACTGAGTGCAGGCGGGGCAGAACGCTGGGGCTGGCGGGGGCCCCCGGCTGCCAGCTGGTTGCTCTCAGCTTGTGAACAAGTGGTGGCGAGCTGACGTGTAGTAAGCGCAGCCTCGCCTCACTCGTACGTGGGGGATTCTTTCCCCCTCACTTCGGTACATACATATCCAATAAGGAGAAAGGGAGATGACATGCATGGAATTCTTTCCTCGTTACATATGTCCATACAGATCCAACAAGAACAAAGGGGCCCACATATGCCCTTAAAAGCATGAAGATTTAATTCTGTGTCTATTCTGGACTTCCCGGGGCCTTTGGTGTCACTTGGTGCTCTTGCCTTCGCATGCTGCACCGGTGATGCTGCTAGTCCCAATCCGTCGCTTAAAAAAACGTGGCCCCTGCTGCAGAGTTAGCCTAGGCTGTTCCAGAAGAACAGGCCTGGCCACGGCTGAATCAGGAGCTAGGTTTCTCCAGCTATAACCTCTTTGGCTGTGCTGCATGTGCAGGATAGTGAATGGAAGAAACTTGTGAGTTTATGCTGGTGCAAAGTTGCAGTGCTACTCCCTACTTGTAGAGAGAACATAGGCTACTCGTCACAGGGAGTGCCTAAAGTTCATAACTCGAATGCCCCTGCTGCTTCGGATTCATAACCTGACAAAGGAAGCCAATGCGTTAATGCGCTTGCCTATGTAAAATCGCATTCGGATAAACAGACAAAGAGATACATTGTCTTTCTCCTGGTTTCATCTCCCTCCCTGCATGCCCGTGCTGCTCTCTTGAGCTTCAGCATCACTCGCGAGCCGCAAGCCTCGGCTGAACTGCAGTGGCCTGGCTGCAGAGAACAAGACCCCTTTTAGTGGTGGATACTTTAAGCTATTACGTAAGCCTACGCGTTGTAAATTACAAGACCCTGAAGGCATTTTTTCAGTCACATTGCACGGCTGCGTTGACCACTTTGGATTGCGCCGTTCACTGGCTAACCGGAGACCAGTGAGCCAAAAGCGTCCAGGAATTAGTCTAGATTTAGCGCACAGTCCGTGACTTTTCCTGCTGTTTACACAAATTACATACACCCGATCGCTGGGATCAACAGAGGATATCCTCGGAGTGTCTCGATATTCCGATTCCCGCATCACCAGATATCAGTCGACCGAGTCTCACAACATGGAATTTATTTGCCACTACTACGAAAATTGGTACACACAAAAATATTATCTGCAATCCAATCTATGTCAAAGTATCTTCAGTGCACGCTTTCTGGGAACCCTGTTAATTAGGCTCCAAGCGCGAAGAACACGCCATTCACCGCTAAGCCCAGCGCGAGGGATCTAAATCCGTAAAGAGCTTAATTCGAAAAAATCCAAACCAACAAAGGCTGGCGTCCTGCGTTTTATGCAGTAAATCTAAATCTGCTGTTTCCTAAGCTGGAGGATAAGGCATCCACGCATATTCACAAACTATCCCCCACCCTGCGGCCTCTTGGACACCCTCCGCCCCAAGCGCTCCTGATTATTCGGGATAAGCTGTCTTTTTCACCAGGAAATATTTTTACATAGCCACCAGAGCTTTTGTGCCTTTGCCTAAATCCAATTTTTCAGTCCCCCCAGCTCGTAGACCGATCGGGTTCTGGCACGAGCCCGCTGGACAGCACAAATGCATGTTTAGCTGCCCAGCTGCTGAGGTCCCACTTGGTCCATTCCTTTGAATAACTGCAGCCTAAATATAAGGTATGACTCAGGCGCCTTGAAATTCAGAAGATTGCCGCCGTGCATGCAGTGTTAAGCTCTTGCAGGTCCACAGGAAAATCCTCCGGGCTATTTGCTAGTTTCAGTTGCAGCTCCGTAACGTATTATAGTGCCTCTCTGTACAAAAAAGCTTGGTGAGCCCCCAGGCTCGCTTACGGGGAGCACAAGGGGGCCCCATAGTCACAAGTGCTGCAGTTTATTAGATTAAAGGATGCCATCAGGGGCAGTGAGAAAGACAATGGAGCAAAAGCTTCATGAGGGAGAATGGATAGAAGCAAGGAGCTTCGGAATGGGAACGGGGATAGTTGCAGCTTCCCCGGACTAACTGCTCATTTATTAATGTAAAGAATACTTCTGAAGCACTTTAAAATGTGCAAAGCCTGTAACTGCTCTTCCAGATAAAAATCTCCTGAGATGCCACTGAAGAGTCACGTATTGCATTTTCTTTTTTTTTCTTCCTAAGTTGTTGGCTGCGCTTATTCTGCGCTCAAGCCAGTTACTATCTATTTTAGCTTTAAACATCCAGGACTGCCATAAGTGATCCCTAACAAACTAACGTCCCTTAAAACTTGTCGCTACCTTCATAGCTGGATACGCGGCCAGCTACCTGAGGGGTCTTATCCTGGAAGAGCAAGACCAAAGTAATTTCAAACCGTTGCAGCCCAATACAAATGCCCTTAAATAAATGTTATTTGTAGGTGGGGAGCTTTCTCTTAACATCCACTCCTGCCCCAAATTCGGAGAAAAAGAGGGAAAAGGGCAAAAGGAGCCGAGAACAATGGCGGCCTCGACAAAACCAGGCATAGAAAATGTTTTTGATTTTGCCTCACAGTTAGCCTCCAATATAAACTTATTGCACTAGAGAACGTCTAAAGGCCCCTAGAGGAATATTCTGCTGCTTATCGCGAGTGGTGGCCAAGGCCGAAACTCCCAGCCCCCTGAAGAGTGCCCCCAACATCTTCTTTGTGATTAACCTAGCCAATTCCTTTTCTTTTATTTATTGCAGTGCAAAGCAATTCTTAGAAAGGGCGCAAGAGGTGCAAGCTAGGGATTTCTACTTACGCAGCTGTAGCCGCTAGCCAGCTGCTTGCTACAACAGGCACTTAGGCCCTTAGTGTTGCGGGCTGATCCTGCGGTTTTAGGTTTGACCAGCTTTTGAAAAATCTTCAGTAGATTTTATATTTCACCTGGAAATACATAAACTAGCAAAGCCGTTAGGTGACATGCAGACCTGGATCTATTGTCGTAAGATCGTGGAATACTACAGACATTCCACAAACATTGGCGCCACAAACGCAACTTTTATAAATTTCATTTATCTGAATTGATCCAAAAAAGAAGTATTCCCAATGAGGCAGTAGGTTCGGGGTGTTAAACAGCTGTTCTTATTACCTTGGGAGAGTACCTCACTGCAAATGAAAATAAAAACTTGGCGACGCTTTGAGCGCCAGAAGGCACAGAGCCTTACAATTCAAAGCTTTTAAAGAGCCTAAACAAAAGATGCCAGCCACTGCCAATTTCAAGGCTGCCCCCATAGGCAGCAGCAAAGGTAGAAGAAGCTGTTTCAGTCAAACAGTCTAGCAAAGGGACTCGATGGCCCCACAGCAAACGGCACTTCATTTAAAACAGCTGCAGCAGCACTTCAGGTCTTGATTAAGCTTTTTCCCAAGGCATGGCCTGGAGGGCAGCTGCTTGAAGAAAAGATCTTTTCCGAAATTATGACCCATTTGAACTTATAATTTTGAACTTGTGAGCCATTTGAACTTATAATGGGCCGGCCGCTGCAGCATTGCCATAGCTGCCAATGAGCGCAAACAGCAGACCACTTTATTCTCTTGCTGCGGAGAAAGCATCATGCCTATGAAAGCTGCCAAACTCCACTTTAGACAGCTCTAGCCCCCAGCCCAGCTGCAGCAGCAGCAGCAGCAGCAGCTGCAGCAGCAGCAGCAGCAGCAGCAGGCCCCACAGCCACTAGCTCCTGGCCGTGCTGCGTGAGGGGGGGCCCCCAGGCCGCGGGGCTGACTGGCCTGGAGCCTAGCAGAGTGGCTGGGGGCCCCCCAGTGTTGCTGTTGCAGCAGAGCACTGACTTGGGCTGCTTCGGGGTTATTTTCTGGGACTTTTGGGGGTTTTATATCATCAGATTTTCTATTTTATTTCAGGAAGATATGTTTTTTTAATCTGGAAGCTTTCATTTCTCGATGTCTCATTAGAAGCGGGCTCTCGCGGACTGCACATGGTTACTAGCTGTACAGACACCGCGGAGCTACATAGTGGAAGCAAAGGCTTCCCCGGGAACTTTCCAGAAAGGAATTAAAAATGAAAATGATTTTAAAAATAAAACAACATAATTGTTGTATCGAGTTATAATTCGGCTGCGGCGCCGCAGCCCCACGGACCCTTGCTGCTGCTGCTGCTGCTGCCGTGGGGTGCATGTACACTGGAAGCGGCCGCAGCAGCAGCAGCAGCAGCAGCAGACCTCACACGCTTACTGCTTCCTTCAAATCTCTTTTGTAGCAGCCAACAGAAACCCTAAACCCTCAGTGAGCCCAGGAGAGCCGTGGGGGTGTCTGGGGTGCTGCAGCAGCGCAGAACAGCAGCAGCGGCGGCCGCAGGAGCAGCAGCAGCAGCAGCAGCAGCAGCAGCAGCAACGTAATTCGCGTTTGCTTCTTTTTCCCCTTGCAGACAGCAGCTGCTGAGGAACGGAAGAGCAGCAGCAGCAGCAGCAGCAGCAGCCTGAAGCCCCAAACCCTACACTGAACTCACCATGCACTCAGCAGCAGAGGCGCAGGATGCTGCTGCTGCTGCTGCTGCTGCAGCAGAGCACCAGCAGCGCGAAAGGGTGGAGGCCGAGCTTGCAGATGAGGACCTGGACAGGATGATGGCGGAGAGGGTGGGCGCTGGGACCGGCCTAGGGTTTAGGGTTTAGGGTTTAGGGTTTAGGGTTTAGGGTTTGGGGTCTAGCTGTTGGTGCATTCGTTTCGCCGCGAGAAGAGCCGGGCTCGTGGAGGGCGAGCAGCAGAGCTAGGGTTTGCTGGTTAGCGCGTACCAGAGCGAGCTAGGGTTTAGGGTTTAGGGTTTAGGGTTTAGGGTTTAGGCTTTAGGGTTTAGGGTTTAGCTGCAGCTGCCGAGCAGCACCCTCCCCACGCCCTCCCGCCACCACCCCGAGCGCCCCCTCCCGACGCCTCCCCCTTCGCTGCCCAGGGTCTAGGGTTCAGAGCCAGGGTTTAGGGTTTAGGGTTTAGGGTTTAGGGTTTAGGGTTTGTGCAGGTGACGTTCGAGCCGGAGGTGGAGAACTTTTTGCGGGAGCTGTACGACAAGTTGTACGTGCGGTGTACAGACAGCGTGCGTCGGCTGTACGAAGTGGACTATCCTTCACTTTCCGAAAAGTTTTTTTTTTCTTCTCCGTGGCCTTCAGTGGATCTTGTTGGCGATTTCTACAGAGAGTATCAGCGCTACCACTCCCTCATTATGACTCTTTACAAGGAGCTTTACTACCGACATCTCTTCCTCAGGCAGGGTTTAGGGTTTAGGGTTTAGGGTTTAGGGTTTGGGGTTTGGGGGGGGGGTTTGGGGTTTAGGGTTTAGGGTTTAGGGTTTGGGGTTGGG